AWTYCMAAAWTTYYWAWWAAAAAATCAATTTAATTCAYTTTAATCAGGCTGAATCGATGTTCCATCAGGGTTTAAGAAATGGCGCTGTATTTTCTCTGTTGCTAAAGTAAATGTACAGGAATCACTTCATCCCAATTCCTTCCAACCTTTCCATATTCCAAGGGTAAGTGAATTACAGGCAAAAGAGACCTTTTCTCTTCTAAACACACCTCATTCATTGAGGCTGGAACACCACTCTACATTTTCACTGAAGCAGAAAATGAGATTTAAAGGTGCTGTCAGGAATAGAAATCCCCCTGTTTAAGGACTGGGGGTATAAAAGAGGAATATGGTTCAAGAAGGGTGATGCACGTGCACTCTCCCTTTGAGGTCATCATTAATTAACTTAAATTGCTTTGGAGCTCTGTTCATGGTCATATCTTTGAAACAGAGCAAGCAGTAGTACAAGGAAAGAACATTAATATTCCAGCCTATGCTTGAATGCTGACKCTGAGTCTATTTGGACTGGAATTAAGTGTGCATTAGTCCTAATTTACCCACTGATAAATCACATYGTGCTCATTTGAAGCAAGGAGAGAGAAGCAGCTGAATAGCAGTGGGTAATTATCTCTATTAACTCCTAAAACTGGTAAATACAGAGAGGATAAGGAATGACAATATTGAATTCCTCAGTAAGTTGCTGTAGGTAGCTTTTGCCACTTTATTGATCCATTAAGAGGAGTAATCAAACTGGTTGCTGCTCACTATTCCAGTTAAAACTCAACACATTTGTCCCATTATCCCAGATGTCACAAAAAGACATTCATCCCTTTTTATTTATGGACCAGGGACATGATTTGGTTCCTGTTTTATATTTAGATGATKACAGACCAGGAAAAGACAATAAAATCGGTGGCCTCAGTTCAAACGTTTTCAATAAAATTTGAAATTAGGTATTCAAATGCACAAGGCACCATTGAAATTTCTGCTGTCTTGTCTTTAATCCATCCTTTCCCAAAAGGTGACTTTGGCCAGYGGCTGCAGCACAGGAAGTGCAGCAATCCATGGCACTAATGGCAAATGAAACCCTGCAAGTGCATGGYAGGAAGTGCAACGAGGAAAACTCCAAGTGCAAGGCATAAATTGGAAAAGAAATTAATAAGAGGGGATTAAAGRCAAAAGCAACCATCAGCCAGTGCCCTGCATTAAATGAGAGAGTAACTACTACAAGTAAGTGGCATTAAACACAGCAAATAATTACTACAAGTGCACAGACTTTGGTGCAGAAGTTATTGTTACCAGTGCGTGATATTAAATGCAACGAGTAATTTCTACAAATCCAGGAGTAATTCCCAGCATTAAATGAAAAATCACCCACCAGTCAGTGCCCAGCATTAAATGCAGAAGGAATTACTGCAAGTGTGCAYGGCATTAATTGCAACAAGTAATTACCACATGTGAGCTTCATCAAATGCAAAAGTTATCAGAGTAAGGGCACAGCATTAAATGTAATAATTACTACAAGTGCAAGGCATTAAATCCAGAAGTTACTACAAGTAAGTGCATGGCATTAAATGCAACAAGTAAATGTGGTATTAAATGGAAAAGTAACTACTACAAGTGTAGAGCATTAAAAACAAAGGTAATTACTCCCAGTAATTACTCCCAGTGCCCAGCATTAAACGAAAAACAAATTACTAGTAAATACATGGCATTAATACAACAACTAATTACTACAAGTGTAAGGTATTAAATGAAGAAGTTTCCCCTAGCAAATGCCCAGCTTTAAAGGCATGAGTAACTACTACAAGTGCAACAAGGAATTATGACAAGTGCGTGGCATTAATCTGAAAGTAATTACTGCATTAAATGCAGCAGGTAATTAATTACTACTAGTAATTATTTGAAGAGCACAGAGCTAAGTACACAAGCTGCTATGAGAAGTGCAATGCGTAAAACACAGCTCATTAATGGTTAATTAATTAATTAATTAACTGGTGCCAGTGCCCACCACCCCCGTGGCCCCAGCGAGGAGGGGAAGCACTGACTCGGACACTCCCTGGCCTTCATCCCCTTYCTCCTCGGAGCTGCTTCCCGAAAAGCTGCATTCCTCCTCGGCGGAATCGCCCTCGCTCTCCGAGTGCTCCATGGCCCCGGCTGCTCCAGCATTTCCCCCAGACATGCCAGATCCCCTCCAGCTCCGTCCTCTGGTATTTTCCAGCTCCCCCAGCCCAAACCTTGGCACCTGCAGACAGCCCCACAGCAGCTGTGACCTTTCTCGGCCAGGGAAATCCAAGAGGGGAGGATTTGGGAGCCCTCAGGAAATCCTTGGCTGTGCACAAAGGCCAAAAATCCCGTCAGGAGTCCTCGTGTGCCCCTTTTCACCTCCTTAACCGCAGGGTGGAATTTGGTGGCAAYGATATCCATGATCCCAAAGCTCTTCTCCTGTGTCACCCCACCACTAGAAATACAAGGCCATTAATTAAAGGATGGAATGCACAAATCTGTTTYACTCCTTGGAATTCACAGCCCACTTCAGCACACGGGGAAGTTACAGCAATTTTCCWTCTGACAAGCTGACAACAACTCAATTTAAGAAGAATGAAGTTTGTACACCAGCCTGTTCCATGGTTTTACCTTAGGCTGCCATGATTTGTTCTAAATTTAGAAATATTTCAGGGGATTTGTGTTGTTTCACTTTTTTTTTTACGTTTCTACATCTCCAAACTGATCCAATCCTGCTCCAAAACCACTCCCATAGCTCCCACTGCTTTTAATCCCTTGCAAGGGCACTCCAAAGCTCCCTGGGCAGCCCCTGCCAAGGCCTGAGCACCCTTTCCATGCAGAAATTCCTGCTGATGTCCACCCTGAGCCTCCCCTGGCCCAGCCTGAGGCCGTTYCCYCTYSTCCTGTCCCTGTTCCCTGGAGCAGAGCCCGACCCCCCCGGCTGTCCCCTCCTGTCAGGGAGTTGTGCAGAGCCACAAGGTCCCCCCGGAGCCTCCTTTGCTCCTTAAATCCCAGCAGCAGCTCCTGGGAGTTTTTACTGTTCGAGCTCTCCGTGCAGTAAAGAGCGGAATTTCTTTGACCAACAGAGCTTAGAAAGACTCAAGTCCTCACTCAGCCTCATAAATATTCCAGTCAATTACCACTTTTTTTTTTTTTTTGTAAATCTTGTTGTACAACCCTTGGCAAGGCTTAAACCTTTTTTTTTTTTTTTTAAATCTTGTTGTACAACCCTTGGCAAGGCTTAAACCTTTGGGCTGGAGCCACTGGGAGTAGAAATATATTTTAGGTGCAGTCAGTAAGGGCTAACAAGATGCTCACGAGGCATAAAACAAAGTATTAGAGGAGGTCGTTACACTTTCTATTTGGAGAATTGTAGATTTTGCTTATATTGAGTAAAAAACCTGTAAAACAGTCTTTTTAAAGCTGAATGAGCTGAATTGTTGTTTTGTAAGAAATGTTTTGTTTTCCCATTATCATAAAGCTTCAATCACAATGGGTTTTTACTACATGTCCTCAGACTGTGGTACCTTGCATCCAAATCCCTCCTGTTGTATTTCATTCCCTTTCARGAGGTGGGATTTTAATGCCTGGGGGGGATTTTCAAAGATTTTATGAAAYGGCTTTTCATGTGCAGCCTTTTCCAATGGCACCTTTGATCAGTTTCATGTTAAAATCAATAAAAGTTTAGTAGAGCAGGTTGTGTTTGTAAATCCCAGCGATGTAATTTTCTATAAAAGCAAATGGCAAATGGATGTTGGGTTCTCAGGAACATGAAAGKTTGGGAATCCAAACTTTGGTCTTTGAGGAGTGGTTTCCCCTATSGAAATCAAGCAGATCCAGGTGATGGATGCAGACATAAATCACAGAATTCATTAGGTTTGGAAAAGATCTCCAAAACCATTGATCGACCACATCTCCATTTGGTCAACTTCTCTGGGAGGATGGGGAGTCTATGCCCAGTTGTTTCCTGATGTTCACCATTTCCTTCCCTAAAAACGATGCTAAAACCCCATTTCTTGGCTCAAGACACTGGAGAACCTCGAAGGTTCCCCCAGAGCAGATGGGTCAGGACCTGGTGGCTGCTGTGAGGAAGCTGCTGCTGCTTGGGAGAGGTCCTGTGGGACCTCAGGAGATGAGATCATCTGAGAATGGTGTTAATGAGGCTTTGCAGAGCAAATCCAGAAATAAAAAATGAGGTCTCCCCTGGTGGGTTTTAAATTATGCCAAAGGACTATCCAGAGGTTCCTAATTTGCTGCTGCTGCAGTTCTTTAATGCATTTCCCCCTTTCCAGCACTGTACTCTTGACCTTGTTACAACATTCTTAATAAGGTTGATTTAAAGGATTTAGGATGAGGCAAGTCAGAAAACAGTGAAAGGAGAAAAAATGAGAAAAATCAGTTATTAGCTTGAATTTWTCAAAACCAGCTCAAACCCAGCATCTCTATCTCCATTTTAAATTTTGTTGGGTATTTTCTGCTTACACTGTGACTTTCAGGTGGGGGATAAAAATCAGCTTTATTGGGTAYTCTGAGGAGGGGCACCCAAATTTGGTGATCTTCTAAGCTTTAAAAAGAGGGGTTTGCCTTCCTGGGGACATAAAAATGTCTTTTTAAAGCTTTGATTACCTTTTATTTGTAATAATGTCTAATCTTCACCTGCATATTGGCCTACAGTTGCAGCAGGGTGAGATGCCACAACCACCTGCCTCTGCTTGATTTGGTACAAATAAATGAATGATCAGGGTTTTATGTGACAAAACCAAACTAAACCTCACAATTACTGGGCTGCCCTGAGAATCCTATCCAAGGAATCAAACTGGCATGGGAAGAGATGAATTCCTGGGATGAAATCATTTTTATG